AACCATACAATTATTTTCGTTGCTACTTCATAACTGTAATTTTGCTACTGTTATGAATCGGGCGACCCCTGTGAAAGGGCTGTTCGACACCCCCCCCAAAAGGGGTCGTGACCCACAGGTTGAGAACCACTGCTCTAGATACAAACCCAGCTTGACCAAGAGCTTAATTTTGATGTTGTGAAACCCTGATACGTAAATTTTGTGTCTACTTGACTGGGCCAGGATTCTCAGTTATCTGGCAGTTGAGGTCTCCCCCATAATATTACCTAACATAATGTAATTATCTCTACAATGGAATTTGCTGTGAGCAAGTAGTTACTTAGATTATAGCTCTCAGGAGTGTGGCCTACTTTATGTTTAAGCAAGTCACTGTGGGTCAGGCTGGATTCAGAAGAGGAAGTGGAATAAGAGATATCACTGCTGATGCCAGATGGATCTTGGATGAAAGCAGAGACTACCAGAAAAATGTTTACTCATGTTTTGACTATGCTAAGGCATTTGACTGCGTATATAACCCTGAAAAGAATGGGAATTCCAGAACAATGCATTGTGCTCCTGTGAAACCTGCACATGGATTAAGAGGCAGTTGTGTAAACATAACAAGGGATGCTGCATGGTTTAAATCAGGCAAAGTGTGCAACAGTACTGTATCCTCTCATCAGACTTATTCAATCTATACGCTGAGCAAATAGGTATCAGAAGATCAAAAACAAACAATTACAATGATGTGAAGGAGAGGAGTCAGAATGGAGACCCAAAGCCCATCTGTAGACCCTCACAGAAGGGTCACACGGAAGAGCCGATTCACTCGGGGTGCAGTACAGCCCTGACGAAACACATAACACTCCTCTAGTTCTTTGATGCTTCCTCCCCCCACTATCAAGACCCAAGTTCTACCTCACAGATCCAGCTAGACCGGAGCATGTACACTGGTGCAGATAAGAGCTTTTGTCTGACACAAGGAATCGAGACAGATACCCCCTCAGAAACAATGATGGGAATAGCACTTTCATGAGGGTACGGGGAGGGTGGGTAAGGAAGGGGAGGGAGGGGGAACTGATAGCAATGATGGCTGTATAAAACCCCCTGACGGGGATGAATAACAGAAATGTGGGTGAAGGGACACATTGGATGATGTAAGATATGAACAAATAATAGTAATATATAATTTATTAAGGGTTCATGAAGGTGGGAGGTAAAATAGAGGCACTGATATCAAACAGCTCAAGTACAAAAATAATGTTTTGAAAATGATGATAGCAACATATATACAAGTTTGCTTGATATTATTGATTTATGGATTGTTATAATATCTGTAAGAGGCCCCAATAAAATGTGTTTTTTTAAAAAGAAAGAAAACTAAAATCCTCACAACTGGACCAACAGATAA